GCTCACTGTGGCAAACAGGACAGAAGCAGGGTCCTGGAGAGGGGTGGGGGCAGAGAGCTGGAGGACATGGCTTCTTCTGGCAGCGCACGGAACCTTCCTGGGGGGAGAGAGGTCAATTGCTACTTCCCGACTCCGTGTCATCACAACCTGAAACCAGGCTACACACTGCCCCCTGGCAGGATGCCCCCACTGAGCCTGCCGGGCTCAAACCTCCCTCCCTCGGCCCAGGAGACCAGAAGCCAATCCTTTTCCGCTAGATGGTCCCCCGTGAGACCTGGGTGAGGAGACGAGCTCTTCCGGGCCAGAGAGGAGGATCGAGGGATGAAAGGTCACCACGTTCCCCAAAGGCCACCTCACCTGGCAGGTGCAGAGGGAGCAGCTGGGGTCGAGTGGGTCAGGAAGGGTCTCTCCATGGGCTGCGGTGACCCCATGATAGAGGCATCCTGGCAGAGCAGGAAATGCATTGAAAGAGCAGCCATCAGGGCAGCCCCCCATGGCCACACACGCAGCTGGTCCTGACGACCCCTACCAACGCTTAGGGAGTCAGAGAGGGAGAGATAAGTGTGGCCCACGGTGGTGGCCGGGAAGGTGAGGCTTTGGCCAGGCTGTGAGCGGCGAGACCTGAGTGCACGAAGGGAGTCAGGTCTGGAGGTGGGGTCAAAGGCCGCTGGGAAGTTTCTGCCTGTGGGGCCCACGTGACGAGTGGGCACACACACCCGGAATTGAAGGCAAGAGATGGGCTGGGCTCAGGAGCATGGGCAAAGGCAAGCCAGGCGGGAGGGACGCTCCCCCTTGTGACTGGTCACTCAGGGGGCATGGGAGCCATCGAATGGGTTTGAATCTGGCGATGTGACATCTCAGGAAGGCGACGAGACAATTTGAGAGCAGGGAGTTCTGGAAGTGTAAGGCAGTTTGAGGAGACAGCAGGGACAGCCAGGAGGGTGTGGATCCTCAGGGGTCTGAGGAGAGCACAGGGCATGGGTTTGCTGTGTGGTGACGGTGCTAAGACCAGTTGGGCCCCTGGGGGCTCCAGGAGGGGCAGGAAGGGCAGGTGTTGTCCTACCCTGGCAGGTTGGGCAGCAGTGTCCAGCCGGGGTGAGCGGGTGGCTGCAGCCCAGAGGCTCACAGGGCTGGCGGCCACAGGTCACAAAGCCTCCAAGGCAGGTACACAGATTGCAGGGCTCTCGGGGATCCGGGAACTCCTGGCCGCTCAGGTAGGACTCCCCTAGATACTCGCAACCTTCAAGAGAGGACAGGGAGGGGCAGGGCAGGGGGCAGAAATCAAGAGAGGACAGGGAGGGGCAGAGAGGTGAGCAGTCATCCAGTTCTGACCTTGGGCCCCAGTTGAGGCCTCAAAGACCCAGCAACTGGGGGCAAGGAGAAGGCTCAATCCTGGCAGGAGATGGGGGGGCAAAGGAGTCTGAGATGGGGTACCAGCCAAAGGGCACACTTTCCCCTTTCAGCCTGTAATCTCTCTGGAAAGACCCACAAGGAATCTGTCCCTAGAGTTGGATGCTCAGCAGGCCACACCCAGCCAGAAGGTACCAATTTCTCCAACCTGGGGACAGCTGGAGATAGCCCGAGATGGCTTCGGAGACACTGATCAAGGTATCGTCTTTCCAATATTCTTCCGAGCCCCTTGACTAATCAGGGGCCTGACGGGATCCCAGGGTTGTAGCAAGCAGCTCTCTGACACTTGCTGAGAGGGCGCTTTGGGTGATAATGAGGTGTCAGTAGTAACCACAAATCCCTGGTGGGGGATATTGATAAGGAGGGAAGCTGTGCATGTGTTGGGGGCAGGGGGCACTTGGGAAATCTCTGTACCTTCCTCTTGCTTTTGCTGTGAACCTAAAACTGCCGTAAAGAAACAAAGTCTTAACAGAAAAAAGAGAGAGAGAGAGAGAGGCAAGTCTCCGTCTCAAAGCCTTGGCAGGCAAAAGTTTCTGACTCAAATTTAATGTTCTATTTTTAACTGTATTAATAATTATGGTAATCTTCATTCCTGGAAAATCTAACTCATTTACAGTATGATATAAAGACTCCTTTCTAAATAGGTTTAAAAACAAAAGGATGGGGCGCCCGGGTGGCTCAATCAGTTGAGTGTCCCACTTCGGCTCAGGCAGTGATCTCGCTGTTCACGAGTTCGAGCCCTGCGTCAGGCTCCGTGCTGACAGCTCGGAGCCTGGAGCCTGCTTGGGATTCTGCGTCTCCCTCTCTCTGTGTGCCCCTCCCTGGCACACACTCTGTCTCTCTCTCTCAAAAAAAACCTAAATAAACATTAAAAAAATTTTTTTAAAGAAAATAAAAGGTTAATTTGAAGAAAAATAGCTAACTAAATAAACTTACAGGTGCGAGAGGGTATGTAGCAAATGTTGCTAAGATAGTACAAGAGTGGCCGAAGCCTGGGGAACTGAGTGGGACTTGTTCAACCCTCTCTTTTTTTTCAGGAGCTAAAATTAGAGTTACACTTAAAAATGGTTAAAGTAGGGGGGCCTGGGTGGCTCAGTCGGCTGGTGGCATCCAACTTCAGCTCAGGTCATGATCTCACAGTCCGTGGGTTCGAGCCCAACGTCGACTCTGTGCTGACAGCCCAAAGCCTGGAGCCTGCTTCAGATTCTGTGTCTCCCTCGCTCTCTGCCCCTCCCCCGTTCGTGCTCTGTCTCTCAAGGGTGAATAAACGTTAAAAAAAATTTTTTTTAATGGTTAAAGCAGTAAATTTTATGTTATATGTGTTTTACAAAAATACACAGTTTAAAATGTATTTTTTCAATTAAGAAAAATTAGGCCCAGAGAGGTTATGTAACTTGCCCAGGGTCACAGAGCCAAATAGCATCAGCAGCAGGAGAAACCCCAGGTTTTAGTCCAGTGTTTTCTGTTACGGTGACAGATGTTGGGGACTCACTCTAGGGCAGTAAAGATGACGCTGACCCGGCCTTCCCAGCCCCTCATCCCCACGGTCCCCTGCCCCTCACCATCACAGGCAGGGCAGCAGTCACCCCTGGCGGGGAAGGGGCACTGAGTAGGTGCGCAGGCCCTGGGCTCGCAGCTGACGCTGCCCTCCCAGCAGAGGCAGACGTGGCACGAGGCAGTGGGCGAAGGGAAACGCTCCCCGCTGGCAAAGTCCTTCCCCTGGTACAGGCAGCCTAGGCGGGCAGGCGAGCAAGGCGGGAGCCGTGGCGGTCGTGGTGGCCGTCTGCCAGGACCACGGCCCCCCTGGCCCTGCCAACCGGGCGGTGTCCCCCCACATTCTTAGTGAGAACCCCGACGTGGGAGTGGTGGGCCCCGAGGAAGGGGGAGGGTACTGGGGTCGCGCAGTGTTAGGGGCTGGAGGAAGGGGGACATGTCATAAGAGGGGACGAAGTAGGGTGAGGCTGGGGGCAGAGCTGGAGGGAGCAGGTGGGGGTGGGGTGCTGCCTAGGCCGGGAGGGGGCGCCAGTTACCGTCGCAGGACGGGCAGCAGGGCCCTTGGCGCGGGTGGGAGCAGGGCGCAGGCGGGCAGGGCAGCCGCTGGCAGGACACAGAGCCATCGAGGCAGAGGCAGCGGCGGCAGGGGTCGTCGGGCTGGGAGAAATGCTCTAGGTGGCGGGCCGGGACCCCGCCCCCTGGCCGCGGGCAGCCGGAGGAGGTGGCTGCAGAGAGCGCGCGCGCGAGTCAGGGCTCCAAGGAGAGGCTGCGGAGGCTCGCCCCTCCCTCCCATGCGGATCTGCCCGAGGGGTGCGCATCCTACCGGGGCACTGCGGGCAGCACTCTCCGGGCAGCAGGACCGGCTCTGGACAGGGCAGCGGCGGGCAGCGGCGGGAGAGGCACTGCACGCTTCCGCTCTGCAACAGAGGGCCCACGCCAGGCCGGTTAGTGGTGGGAGGCTGAGGAGACCCCCACCCCTCTGACTGCCACCTTGGGGGCCCCCTCCTGGTCTCCCAAGTCCCACCCCTACTCCCCTAGCCTCCTCCTCTCACCCAGGTGGCAGACTCACCAGACAGCGACACTGACGGCAGGGATCAGACGGGTGGGGGAAGTCTGCTCCGTTAGGGTACTCTTTCCCGCCAAAGGCACAGCCTGGGGGAGGGGGCAGCTATAGGCCTGGGAGGGGCCCATTCCTCCCCGGGTAGGCTGCCCTTCCGACCCTAAAAGCCCGCAGATGGGGCCAAGCCATCCCAGGAGACCGCCCCCCCCCCCACCTTCCCCATGGCATCCACCTCACCATTACAGTCGTTCTGGCAGCAGGTGCCAGGCAGTGGATGGGCACAAGGGGCCCTGGGGCAGGGCCGAGGCTGGCAATGGGCATGGCCTTCCTGACACCGGCACTCCTGGCAGGGGTCTCGGGGGTGGGAGAAGCTCTCGCCATCCACAAATACTTGTTCCTCCAGGATGCAGTCTGAGCATTGGGGCAGGGAGAGGGGCAGGAGTGGGGGCGAGGACTGACAGTTCTAGGCATGGGCTGACAGCCCATCTATCCTTGGAGTCCAGGGCCACTGAGGAAATGCTAGCAGGAAGCACCACGGAGAGAGCGGAAGAAGGGTCTGTGTATGCAGGCATGGGTATCTCTCCGAGCACACGCTCGCATGTGGAGGCATATTTGAGCCCATTTACCTGATGCATGTGTGTATGACTCTGAGGGTGAACAGCCAAGGAGCTCGTGCATGAACGTGCCTGTGTTTGTGATACACGCTCTGGTACAGACTCTCCAGGAGGGCGGGGCAGGGACCAGGTTACACTGCACCCTAGCACCCAGCCTCCCGCGCATCAGACCCAAACGTTTGTGGCATGGAGCTGCTTTATATAGACACAGGGATATATCTGACCGGTAAGGGTACTGGAGGAGGAAATACAGAACAGGAGGGAAGGGACATATAGGAACATGAAGGGATAAACATCTCTCTACTCTCCCTCCTACCCATACCCTGTGAGTTCCAGAAAGTCCAAGCTGTGTCTGAAAACAACTCAGAAGGCTGTTGCTTGCTAGGGTATCTGTTGAGCCCGTGGGGCCATGGGAGAGCTGGCTCCGGGGCCCCCAAGCCAGACAGGTGTCATAAGCACATACCTGGGCACCTGGGGCAGCACTGGTCGGGTCCACTCCGGGGCCTGGCACAAGTTGTGGGAGGGCAGTCAACCAAGGAGCACCTCACAGTCCCAGCCTGGGAGCAGGGGAGAGGGCAATGAGGGTGGGCTCCAGGAGGGGCTCAGCAGGGCAGTAGCAAGCCTGGGGTGGTACCTCGCAGCGGCAGGCGTGGCAAGGGCTATCCGCGTCCGTGAAGTTCCGCCCATTGGCATACACTTGGCCGTGGTAGGTGCAGCTCTCACAGCTGGGGCAGCAGGCACCTGGGGGAGGCAGACTGATCAGAGCCCAGCTGATCCGGGTGGGCTGGACAAAGCAGGGGGGAAAGGCCGGATCAGGGTGGGGCACTCACCGGGGAGCTGGGTAGGGTGCTGGCAGGGGGGTGGGGAGCAGAGCACAGCCCCACACATGGGCACGCCATCATGACAGGAGCAGGCCGTGCAGGGCTGACCATCAGGCTCCCACTGGACCCCCTCAGCAAACTCCTCTCCATCCAGCACGCAGGCTGCCGCAAGGGGGGCTGTCACCATGGCAACCGAGACACCTGCTGCCACCCCTGACCTTCCCAGACCACAGGGCCCTGGCTCTGCCAGGCCTACGGTGGCCTCTGACCCCACGCTGGGAGTGGCTGGTGGACCGGACAGTGCCCCCCTTATTGTGAAGGAACCCCTCCGTCTTCAGCGCCTGCGAGCAGCACTCCTGTGAAGCTGTTCCTCTTTCTCTCCCTCCCCACACATACCTGGGCAGAGCTGGGGGCCAGAGTCAGGCAGGGTGCAGGGGGCAACCGGGCACGCCTGCTCCTCACAGGACACCTCGCCAGCCTAGGAGGGATGCTGGGTGAGAGGTCCTCAAGGGGTGAGACAGATCTGGGGTGTGAGAGGGCGCGACTGGCTACCTGGCAGGAGCAGCGGATGCAGCGCCCCCTCTCTTGGAGTCGGAAGGTCTCCTCACTCTGGTACTGGTGTCCCTGGTACTCACAGCCTGGTCAGGAGGACAGGGGGACCGGGGGCAGGGCTGGAGGCCGATGGGGAAGCCTCACGTCACCTCAAAGCATCCACCCCCCCCAACCCTGATGAGCCAGCCTCCCCTACCTCCAGGATCAAGGGCCCCGCCATGGTGCCCAGTGTGCCATGAGAAGGTGAGAACGTGACCCTCACCCGTGGTGACGGGAGCCTAGGCCGATCAAGGACTTGTCCTGCACTTTAGTTCAAGGGAGCTTCCTGTAGGTCTAAACGCCCGACCCCTCCCCCCTCCCGAGCCTCTCTTGGGCCAGTGCTTGCCCCTCTCCCGGTGACTCGAGTCCCCAGCTCACCATCACAGACTGGGCAGCACTGGCCAGGGATCCTGCCTGGGTGTCTGCAGGGCACGGGCGGGCAGGGCAGAGGCTCACACTGGACACTCCCATTCTGCCAACAGGGCCTGATCAGCATTCACGAGGCAGGCCCAGAAGCCAGGCCCTCCCTGCCAGGCCAGCCACACTCACGGCACAGTGGCAGTGCGAGCAGGGGTCCCCAGAGCCCACGGGCTCTCCGCTGTGGTACTCCCGCCCATTTAGGAAACAGCCTGTTGGGGAATAGGGTGCCTTAAAGTCCTGGCCTTCATGGGAGGCTGAGCTGGGCCACAGGTGAGCTTTCTGGACCCCCACTCCAGACTCCACCCACTGACTCACCATCGCACAGCGGGCAGCAGGTGCCTGGACGAGGCCGGGCAGGGTACGGGCACAGGCTGGAGCATTCTCGCTGGCGGCACTGAATGTGGCCCTCCTGGGAGGGGGCACAGCGGGCAGGGGAAGGGGCCATTAGAGCTCCGTCAAGTGGCAGAAATGGCAGTCGAGTTCCCATGATGCGCTTACTAGATGTTGTTATGAGTTGAGCTGTGCCCCCCTCCAAATTCATATGTTGAAGTCCTAACCCCTCGCACCCCAGAACATGACGTATTTGGAAATAGGGTCACTGCATATATAATTAGTTAAGCTGAGGTCATACTGGAGTGGGGTGGCCCCTCCAAAAACTGCGTCCTTAAAAAAGGGGAAATTTGAACACAGACACACACAGGGAGAGCAACATGTGAAGATCAAGGCAGAAGCCAAGGGATACCAAGGATTTCCAGCAAACCACCAAAAGCCAGGAGAGAGGCCTGGAACAGATTCCCTCTTACAGCCCTCGGAAGGACACCTTGACCTTGGACTTCTGACCTCCTGAACCACGAGATGATACATTTCTGTTGTTTAAGCCAAACCCCTTTGCGGTACTTTGTTATGGTGCCCAGCACGTTACTGAAGCTCTCTGTGACTCAGTTTACCCATCGGCAAAGACAGTAATAGTCCTGTCCTCACAGCCTTGTTATGGGAATGAAATGAGATATGGCGTCCGGTGTGACAGCCACCTCTGGAAGCTGGCGAGTAAACAGTAGCTGCTGCTACTCGCCACGGCTGTTCCCAGACAGACCCCCGCCCTTTGAGTTCCCACCTATATCAGGGCTCACTATGTCCAGTCCCGTAAGTGGGCAGCCAGTGACTCTTCTCACAGGTGTCGGGAGGGTGGTCCATGTGAACAGGGAAGGGAGGCATGTGGTTGCAAAGGGGATGGATGCCCCATGGCCTTCGCAGTGGAGTCTTCAGACCTTGGTAGGCTGTCAGGAAACTGTATGGCTCTGGCTTGAAACACAACCCTTCTCAGGATGCTCCCTGCCTGGACATGATGTTTCCATGTCCCCACCTTCTTCCCCCAGGCTTCGCCCTGACTGTTCCCTACACCTGGTGTCTTAGTCCACTTGGGTTGCTGTAATGAAATCCCATAGGCTGGGGGGCTTATAGACAACAGAAATTTACTTCTCCCAGTTCTGGAAGTTGGGAAGTCCAAGATCAAGGTGCCAGGAGATTCAGTGTCTGAAAAGGACCGGCTTCCAGGTTCCTAGACACCTGCTTTTTCACTGTTTTCACGTGGCTGAAGAGAGGAGCTAGCTCTTTGGGGTCCCTTCTACAAAGACACTAATCCCATTCATGAGGGCTCCACCCTCATGACCTAAGCACCTCCCAAAGGCCCTACCTCTAAATACGATCACCTTGGGGTTAGGATTTCAACATATGAACTTGGGGGAGACACAAACATTCAGTTCATAGCACCTGGAATGTCTTCCCCCATTTCTTCCTGCTTAAATGCTACTCACCCTTTAAGACTAGGTAAACACCATCCCTTCCATGAAGATTTTCTAGATATGTGTTGCCCAGTAGAAACATAACACAAGTCGTAAGTCATTTTAAATTCTCTAGTAGGGGTGCCTGGGTGGCTCAGTGGGTTAAGCGTCCAACTCTTGATTTTGGGTCAGGTCACGATCTCATGGTTGTGAGATTGAGCCCTGTGTCAGGCTCTGTGCTGGGTACGGAGCCTGCTTGGGATTTTCTCTCTCCCTCTCTCTGCTTCTCCCCTGCTTGCACACACGTGCTCTCTCTCACTCAAAAAAATAAAATAAATTAAATTACTCTAGCAGTCAAATTTCAAAAAGGAACAGAGGAAACTAAATATTAATATATATTCCATTCAACTCACTATATCCAAAAGTTATTTTTTTAAAAAACTTCAAAAAATGTTTATTTATTTAAAAAAATTTTAATGTTTATTCTTTTTTTTTAATTTTTTTTTAAATTTTTTTTTAACGTTTATTTATTTTTGAGACAGACAGAGACACAGCATGAATGGGGGAGGGTCAGAGAGAGGGAGACACAGAATCCGAAACAGGCCAGGCTCCGAGCTGTCAGCACAGAGCCTGACGTGGGGCTCGAACTCACGGACCGCGAGATCGTGACCTGAGCCGAAGTCGGCTGCTCAACCGACTGAGCCACCCAGGCGCCCCTTAATGTTTATTCTTGAGGCGCCCCTTAATGTTTATTCTTGAGAGAGAGAGGGGGAGAGACAGAGACAGAGCATGATTTGGGGAGGGGCAGGGAGAGAGGGAAACACAGAATCCGAAGCAGGCTCCAGCCTCTAAGCTGTCAGCACACAGCCCGATGCGGGGCTCGAGCTCACGGACCACGAGATCATGACCAGACCCAAAGTCAGATGCTTAACCGACTGAGCCACCCAGGTGCCCTTATTTATTTTTGAAAGAGAGAGTACCAGCAGGGGAGGGACAGAGAGAAAGGGAGACAGAGAATCCAAAGTAGGCTCCACATTGTCAATGCAGAGCCCAACTCAGGGCTCGAACTCACGAACCTCCAACCATGGAATCATGACCTGAGCTGACGTCGGTTACTTAACCGACGAAGCCACTCAGGCGCCCCCCAAAAGTGATTTCAACATAAAGTAGCAATGAGATGTTTTATATTCCTTTCTTTTGTCCTAAGTCTTTAAAATCCCACATTTTGCACTTCAGCCCATCTCCAACTGGACAGCTACTTTCAAGGGCTCAGTGGCCACATGCGGTGGTGGCCACAGACGGGACAGCGCAGTTCTAGATGTCTCCACGTAATCTGCATTTCTCTCTCCCCCGAGCTGCTGCTGCCTGTCATATCCTGACCTGCCTCACTTCCGGAGCTTGCAAGCTCTTTGAGTTCATTCGCGAACCCACGCTGCACATCTACGATGCTCAGAACTGGGCATACAGGTGGGCACAGCCCCATCCTCACCCTCATAGCGCCCAGGATCAGGTCTTCTCCACCTCTGTCCCCTCCCAGTGCGTAGGGGATGTGCTCAGTGAAATGGAGGGATGAATATGGTTGGCCTGGGGATGGGGAGGGGTGAGGGGTGTGGGAGCAGCGGAGGGACTCACCAGGCACCGGCAGATCCGGCAGGGGTCCCCAGGGGCAGTCCACTCTTGGCCATGATCCCAGCGAGAGCCACCTTCCGTGCAGCCTGGGGTTGAGGTAAAGATGGACACAGAGGAAGCCCGGTAGGAGCCGACCTGGATAGCAGCTTCAGCCGGCCCCGACCCTCTTTCACATGCCCTGAGCCCAGACCAGACCAGGCCATGCCTCTGCCTAGACTCCTGAGGGCTTCCAGTGCAAGGCCTCCCGGGTCCCCAGTGTGGCCACACCCACCTCCCCCCAGCTCTTGGCCCCTCCTCACCTCTCGCTGTAAGCGTTGGCCGTTCGAGTACATTTGCACCTTCCCGCCTACCACACACCCACCTCACATGACTGTCAGTCCCGAGCCTTTGTGCAAGCTCTCCTCTCTTCCTGGAATGCCCTCTGCCTTATTCCACCCTTCCCCTAGCTAACTGCTCTTTATCCTGAAGGTTCACTCAGGACGCGCCGCCTCCAGGACGCTTTCCTTCCTGTGTCCAGGCTGGATTAGGTCTCCTTCCTCTGCGTGTCCACAGTGCCCGGCACCTGCTTCTAATACTGCCTTTGCGACAGTACTGGTGTGTGACTCAGTGTCACCCTCTAGTGGTCTTCTTGGAGGGGGGGGCCCCCTTGTGTCTTCCGTGCACATAGCAAATGAAAATGCTCAGCATTTATCAAGGTATAGAATGGCATTATCCACACCTCACAAATGGGGAATCGAGACCCAGAGTAACTCCCTCAGAGGTACCCGGCCACGAAATGGCAAGGGCGGGATTTGAGGCCAGGCACCTCAGCTCCAGAGCAGCATTGGCCGGGCATCGCTTCCCCACTGACCAAACCCCCCAGGTCAGGGCCAGCAGAATGGGCTCTGGAGTTGAAGAAATGCTGTGACATCCCCACCTGGAGCTCTACCAGGGACGGGTCAGGGCTCTCACCTTGGCAGGTCGGGCAGCAGTGGCCAGGCCTCAGGACTGGCTCAGGGCAGGGGCTGGGTGGACACTTGATGGGTGCACAGCGAACCAGGCTCCTCTGTAATACACCAGTTGCCGTAAAGCCACCCGGTCTGGCTCCCAGACAGGGCAGGGTGGACAAGCGTCAGACATCCTTGGAGGGGTGGGGCACAGGACCGCGATGGAGGGTGAGCCTCACCGGCAGGAGGTCTTGGGAGGTATATGAAAGACCAGCAGGTGTGACCCAAGGGGGAGCAGGGAGAGTATATGGAGGAGCAAGGCCTGAACGAGGCGGGTGGGGACTCACCAGGCAGGAGCATTGGAGACAAGGGTCGGCGCTGGACAGGAAGCTGGCCCCCTCTTCATAAGGCCGCCCCTCATACTCACAGCCTGGGGAGGGTTGTCAGGATGACAGGCCGGTCAGCAGAGAGCAGGGCGAGTGGACATCACCCAAGGGAAGGCATGACCCCAAGTAGGTACCGGACCCTCCGGGGCTGAGGGGATGGAGGGGCAGGGTGGGGCGAGAGGTCACCTGGCCGGCAGACAGGGCAGCACTCCCCAGGTGGGGTGTAGCTCTCCAGGCAGTTGAGCTCTGCACATGAGGGCCCCTGGCACCGCACGGTCCCTGCCTGCAGGGCAGACACTGAGCCCTCCCTCCCTCTCCACTGCCCGAGCTGAGTTACTCCGCAGGCCTGGTGGGCCTAGCAGGCTGCAGGCCTCGAGGCCTGGGTGGCAGCAGCAGCTCTGTCTGGCCCCCAGATTGGGCTCGGCATGCCGAGCATAAGGGATGTGCGTGGCGGCCGGGACTAGGCTCTGATTCCCTTACCTGGCAGGTGCAGATGACACAGGGCTCTGGTTCCCATGTTTCCCCATCCCTGTGGCCTCCAGGGCAGCCTGAAAAACCAGGGCCAGGCCCCCGAGTAAGAGACCCAGGGTACCGGAACCAAAGCACCCACAAGGGAACCACATCAAAGGGCACCGTTCAGGGGGCGCCTGGGTGGCTCAGTCGGTGAAGCCTCCGACTTCAGCTCAGGTCACCATCTCGCGGTCCGTGAGTTCCAGCCCCGCGTCGGGCTCTGGGCTGATGGCTCAGAGCCTGGAGCCTGCTTCCGATTCTGTGTCTCCCTCTCTCTCTGCCCCTCCCCCGTTCATGCTCTGTCTCTCTCTGTCTCAGAAATAAATTAAA